GAAATGTTAACCCTGTTTTCTCCTCCACAGATGCTGCCAGACCTGCTGAGCTTTTCCAGCAACTTTGTTTTTGTTCTTGGAAAATCCGCCCCATGATGATAATACTGGGGATGATTGCTCTTTTCTGGCCAGAATTCAATACAGTTCCAATCGGTATTTATTTAAGACAAATTACTGCCGGTTCTTTTCTGCCATTACTGGATTTTTTTTTGTTCCTTTTTTTCTAGTTTAGAAGGTAAGCAACTAGGAATCATCTCAAACTGCAAGTACCAGACCCGCAAGACTTGCATTTTGTTTTCTCTTTCTCTCTGAACTGAGTTGGAGAGTAAGCTTGTCTTCTTTAAATGACAATCCCAGTGAGAAGTCTAAAACACATCAACAGCTCTAGAGGAATGGGAGGTTTGATTCCATTGCCATCGAGTCGGAGGTAACGGAGACGAGGCTGAAGGTCCGTTGAGGGCACCTGGTTAATTGTGTTGATGGGTATGGGGCAGACCTGAGCTCCATTAATGTCTGTGGGTAAAAGGTAACAGATTAGTTTCAGGGGAAATATGATGTTACCATTCCATTTACTTTCAATCCAGCTTTTCATTTTCCGTCATCTAGAGAGCCTAAATATTTAAGCAGACACAAGGCAAAGGGTCAAGAGAGGAAACAAATGATATCTCAATGTCTGAATGGGTATGCAGAGAGAAAAGCTAGTAAAAAATCAATAATACTGAGAAATCAACATACTGGTCGTACTATTTCCCCATTTTGAAACACAAGACGAGTGGCACTGGGCAGTTTTACTGGTTTTTCTTTTGAGTTACACCCAAGGTGCATGCGATATTGGGCTTTGGGCTTCATGTCCTAGAGGAACAAAAAGCCCCAGCAACATGATTGTAGCTCACTTTCTGTTCCTATTGCCTAAGTGTTGAAAGCTTAGCTTCTTAATTACGAGAAGGAAGTGATGTTTTTAAGTGTCATTCATTGAGAAATGGTAGGCGGCTTCATATTGAATACCTTAAATGTATTCTGTGCACTGAATCTGCTTTCAAACCTTCTTCAGGGTTTACCGGAAGGTGGTTGAGACAGATTGGTGAAGTTTTGTATTTGGAGGAATATTGCCATCTCCCTGCAGGGATGTTGTAAAGTTACAGACTGTCAGACTGTGAGCATGTGCAACACATGGGGATCTTTATCATACAGGTCTTTGGACTATCTCTCATGAATATTCCAACAGTAGGGTAAATTCCCTGCAGATGAAAACCCAAAGACACTGCATTTATTAGCTTCACCTCACTTGAAAGCAGTCAGGAATAATCTAATGGAAATAGGGTAGGGGGTGTGAGTCTGGGTGGGCTGCTCTTTGGAGTGTTGGTGTGGACTCAATGGGCCAAATGCTCTTTTTTCACATTGTAGGGTTTCTGTGATTCTATGAAACGAGTGGGTCTTTAAGATGTGTGTGCAGCCAGCACTGTTGTATGGGTGTGAGACCTGGCGCTTGGAGAAAGTGGAAAATCGAAAGTTCAATGTGGCAGAGATGAGGATGTTGAGGTGAATCAGCCAAACCTCAGAATGAAATTAAATGACAGCTTCTGGGAGAAAGTCAGGGTGACTGAGGTCCAACAAAGCTTAGGAAACGAGACTGAGGAGTACAGGCACATCCAACGAAGGCCAGCAGATCATGTTACAAGAAACTTGTTTGGAGTGGATTAAGGAAGAGGAAGAGGGAAAGGTCAAGAAAGAGGTGGATGGTGTGATCCACCAGGATCTGAGAAGTAGGGCTTCTACCTGAGACCAGGGGAAGTGGAGAAGGGCCATTGTGAACTGTGATCACACCTAATGGATGAACAGGAATAAAGAAGAAACATGAAATTCTCGAGATAATAAATATTTCCAATGTAGACCTTTATGAGTTGATGTTCAGATTTTTAATGGACTAATGGGTGTAGTGTTGATTCTGTGTCTCTCTCTCCCTCTCTCTCTCTCTGGAGAAATATAAACAATTCTAAACAGGGAAGCATTAGGCTGGCCCCAAATTCTGGAACTTTCTTCCTACACGCATTCTCCACCAAGCCACTTTAAATAAAGGCAGCAAGACAATGAACATGAAACATCCATCCCATTAAGGTCATTATTGTTCAATACCAGACCTGACTAGTTCAGCACTTATTATCTGTCCCTAAATTCCCTTGAGAATGTGGTGGTGAGCTGCCTTCTTGAACTGCTGTAGTCCATAGGGTGTATTTACACCTACAATGCCATAAGGAAAGAAGTTCTAGGATTTTGACCCAGCAACACTGAAGGAGCAGCAATGTATTTCCAAGTCAAAGTCCTGAGTCCAAGTTATGTCAGACGTAACCCACGGTGAAATGGGATGTTCCAGTCAGTGTGGAAATGAGGGCTTAATGATCTGGTATTGAACCAAAATGGCCTTAATTGCTTGGGGCTGGCAGCAGATTCATTGTTTTGCTGCCCTTGTTTAAAATGAATTGGATGCCCCTCAACAGGGAGGTCCAGGTTCAAGTTTCAGCTGCTCAGAGATGTGTAACAACATCCCTGAACAAGTTTATTAGAAAAATAGGTTAGATTTTTTATAAAGGCATTGAAACATTGACAAAAGAGATCACAGAAAAAGTAACTTATCATAATGTCATTAAAAATAGTTTGGAGGAGAATAGGGCACAGGAGGGTTTTAGGATCAAGTTGGCAAACCAGCATGGAGGCTGTGACATCAAATGTATGCCCACCACATGCCACCACACCGCCCCCCCATCCCCCACCTTCACTCTGATCCAGATCCCAAACTATTTTAAAAATCCAATCCATAGAGTTAGTACACCACATAAAGAGGACACTTGATGCATCGAAAAACAACTGTGCAATACGCAAAATAACTTTGCAGCTGAGTCACTGCATTCTCGATGCTGGATCTGTGGCAGAACATTATAATAATGTGTAGTTTCACAAACAATGTTGCAGTGAGCTGTGCGCCCGTTTCTTTGAGGCATGTATCCTTTAATCAGCATGCCACTCAAAGGGCATAGCTCCCACTGAAATACCAAGAGAAGCACTAGAGACAAGAAAAAGGCTCTCAACATGCAGAAGGATTTCATGAAGATGCTGGTCTCTGAGACCATCTCAAACAATAAAGGAGTCACAACAATGAGATATACAAAATTATGAGAGGCATAGACAGTGTAGAACATGAGAATCTTTTTTTCCCATAGCAGCAGTGTCTAAGACCAGAGCGGCCAAGATTAAGGTTAGAAGCAATTGGTTTAGAGGAGATCTGAGAAATGTTTTTTCACCCAGAAGGTGGTAGAAATGTGAACGTGGTGCTTGAGAGAGTAGTGGAGGCAGGTACTCTCACAACATTTAGGAAGCTTCTGGATGAGCACTTAAAATACCAGGGCATAGTAGACTATGGACTAAGTGCAGGTAAATGGATTAGTGTGGTTTGGTGTTTGTTGATCAGCAGAGACATTGTGGGCCTGTTTCCATACCGCATGACTCTATGAACTCTGAGTCAAAGTTTATGAGGTTGGGGTTGTGGGGGTTGGGGGGGTGTTGTGGGGGCGTGAGGGGGTGTGATGTTTAGTCGGGAATGTGCAGTTGCAACTACAGTCAGATCAGGCATGATCTTATTGATTGGTGAAGCATGATCAAGGGGCTGATTGCCTACTCCTGCTCTTAACTCATGTGTCCATGTATATACATATACCAGTAAAGAGTTTATCCAAGTGCATTTGCAATATGTAAAGTATGAAAGGAAACTTGAATTGGTGACAAAGACTACAACAGATTTATTACTTTGAAGGATCATTTTCTTCCATATGCAAGAGATCAGTCAGCAATCTTGCCTGCAGTGATACACTTCAGGATATTGCCCATCAACTTCAATGGACGCCATGCTGCAATTCTCCGCTTTATGCAAACAGTTGGCAAAGATTGAATTCATAAAATTGTCCCTTACACATGTTTCTTACCCTACAGGGAAGAGCCTTTGATTAATTTTAAATATTTGTTGGATTTTCAGAGACTTAATAGCAACAGGGTTCTATATCAAAGGAAATAGTTAGAAAGAGGTCATATCTATCTTGTGGTTTAAAAATATATCAGGAATGTTTTTGCTTCCTGTCCCAAAATTCTGATTTCCTGTTGTCCCAATTTTCCATTAATATGGACTCACAGAAATATTACAAGGTATTCAGTCCATCATGTCTGCACCAATTCTCTGAATGAACTTTTCATTCAGTACCTTTCTCCTTTAACCCTGCACATTCTTCCTTTTCAGATAACAGTCTTTTGAAAGCTTTAATTGAATGTGCCTCTACACTCTCCCAGTCAATGCATTCCAGACCTTAAACACTTGTTGCATTGAAACATCTTTTATCCATAAACACGTTTGCTTCATTTGCCAATTACTTTAAAACTGCCCCTTCTTGTTCTTGATCTTTTAGGATTGAGAGCAGTTTTATCCCTAACCACAATGTCGAGACCCTTAATAATTTTGAATGCTTCTATCAACACTCCTCTCAGCCTAACTTTTCTCCAAGGAAATGGCCTCAGTTTTCCATTCTACCTTTGTAACTGTCTAGAATCATTCCCGTGATTCTTGTCCGCACTCCCTCCAATGTCTTTACATCCTCCTGAAAGTACAGTGTCAGAATTGGAAGCAGTACTCCAGCTGAGTCTGAACTAGCATCTTAACAAATTCAACGTAGCCTCCTTGTTTTTGTAATCTACACTCCATTAATAAAACCCATGAAACTATTGACCTTATTAACTGTATTAACTTTATTGACCTTTATGGCAATGTTTCAAGTCAGTATGATGGTGAGAACACACTAACCCACCCTATGTCAACAGTGGGCAATTTCAAACCCTTTCTCCAGTCAGTAATGTTATGGTAGCTCCTTTGTCAGTCTCCCACCAGCTTATATACAACCTACAGCCTTGCCCTTTGAAGTTCCTTTAAGATTTCATTTTTAAGAATAATTTTTAGTTTAACTGTCTATAATTTTTTTCTCACATCACATTTGTTTCTTTTCCAAATCACTTTAAAATCTGTTCCCTCTCATTCTTGATCCTTTTACAAGCAGGAACAATTTCGTCCCTTCTGTTCTATCCAAGCCGCCTCATAGTTTTGACAATTCCTGTCATTTATTTTGAAAAGCATATTCTCAAAACAATACGCTTTCATAGTAACCTGTCACTTACTTTTGATTTGGTTGTGGTCGAGGTACAAGTGTTCAAGACCGAGATGGATGGGTGGAACTGCGGTGAGCTGATTGTGTGATAACTGCAAGTCTATTATGGATGACATGTTAAAAACAGTCTCAGGAATTCCAGTGTCGGAAATGTTGTTATGATTTAGTCTGACAAAAGACAGCTTTGGAAGTCCACTGAAGTAGTCCCGTGGTATTGCTTTAATGGAGTTATTGTCCAAGAAGAGTTGCAGAGTCGAAGTGGGGATTTGTGGGGGCATTTCCTTGAGGTCATTCTTGGCCAAATTGAGTTGCAGTAGAGCCTTCAGTCCTTGAAAAGTGTTTGCATCAATGGCAAAATCTTTCAGGTTGTTCCCCTGCAGATCAAGCAATGTCAGTTTGTCCAGATTGGTGAAAGCTCCCTCTGGTATGCGAGAAATCTTATTCCTGGCTAGGCGCAGATATTCTAAGCTGCTTGGCAAGGGTGCAGGCACTTCTTCAAGATTATTATCATCCATGTACAGGTAGAGAAGGTTTTCCATTTTCTGAAACAGACCTTTATCAATGTTACCACTTGTAATCTTATTCTTATTTAGGTTTATCCATCTCAATTGAGTTTTGTTCTTGAAGGACTTATCTGGGAGTGCTTCAATGAGATTGTTCTGAATATACCCATACAAGACCCTTGATGGTACTTTGGGCATCTCTTTGAGGTTTTGGCTGTCACAGTACAGGGCATTAGAATAAGTAGTGGGGCATCGGCACTCTTTAGGGCATTCATAATAGTATTCTAGACGCTCTAAGTAGTTTGATAGGTCCTGGCTCCAAATGCTTCCGCTGAAGAATAAAGCCACTAGAACAGGTTGGATCACACCTTTCATGTTTGCAATTGCCCTGGAAAGGAACAACACAGTGGAAAAAAAATATCAGTTGCTCCATGACACTTTTCGTTCGGCATCAAATCAGATGAACATCTCATGTGAGATGTGTTACCAATTTGGACAGTGGACCCATCAAGTCCGCCCACATCTCAAGATGACTGATGCATCATGATCAAAACTTCCATCACTTGTTAGCCCATCCCCACACCCACAAACCACATGTTTCCACCATTGTTCCCTCAGAACTTGGGGAACCGTGTAATCTTCTGGGATATTGTGGAACTTGCAACAAAACTATAAATTGAATCCACAGTGAACAAATATTCTAGAAAGTTTCACTCTGCCCACTTCAGGTGACTGAAACAATTCCAGAAGAACACATGAACCAACTGTGACTGCTACAAAAAACTTGTCTTTCACACTATGTGATTTCTGCCCCACCCAATAATTGGTCCAGTTCCCATTTCAAGGAAGATTCAGAGTCAACACTCACTACATCCACTGGCTGACTAACTGAGGTCAAATCTGTTTATTACTTCTGTCCAAATGAATTCACCAAACATTTTCTTTGCTCCGAGATACTGGGTCCTTTGCATTGGAATTATATTCCACATGTTTATGAAGGAGATCTGCGCTCACATGAGTCCATTTTTCAAATTTGTCCTGCCAGCGAGGGTCCACTGGTTTTATATATATACGTCTGCACAGCTCTACATTTCTCTATTATCTAAAAGGCAAGCCTTCCGACTGGCAAAGCTAATACAGAAAATCATTCCCCCTGCCCACCTCCCATGTCTAGTTTTTCTCTGATCCACTCGTGAGATTTGGATGTCACTGATTAGGCCAGCAATTATCCTTTTTGGCCTTGAGAAGATGGTGAGAAGTTGCCTTCTAAAACAACAGCACTCCATGTGGGCTGGGTATACCTTTGTGCTGTTTAAGTGAGTTCCAGGATTTTGACCCAGTGACAGTGACAGTGAAGAATTAGTGATAGTTTCACTTAAAGCTATATCTGTGTGCTCTTTAATTCTGCTTTTAGAATCTAAGTTTACCTTTATATTAAACATGACTGTTAGTTCTTGCAACACTTAACTGTATTTTCTACAGTGAAGTTACATTCTATGAGTCTGTTTTGCACGTGAGATAACTAAATACAGGGCTTCCCCTGTTTCAACTTTTTGCATCCTGCTGGAAAAGAGACTCATTTTGTTCTGGGTTTTCATCTTGTACTCATCAGAACAGTTCACAAGAATACAACTTAAGGGTAAAACCAACATTTATGATGTTTGGCAGGAGCGTGCTGATTGGTTGGCACGTGGTTTCTGATCATTAGTGGCATTGCAATGGAGATGCACTAGTTAATGATGATTGACAGTTAATTGTCAGGCTTTAATTAGATTTTAAATGAGGCAGGTTTACTCTGATTGATCGAGACATTTCTCTGAGAGTGAACCTAAGCTGTTGTCTATTTTGTTGAGTTGAAACAGGTGCAATGCATACACATTCTCCCAGTGTTTGCATGGGTTTGCTCTTGGTGTTCCAGTTTACTCCCACAGTCCAAAGATGTTCAGGTTAGGTGGATTAGCCTTCTAAATTTCCCATAGTGTCCAGGGATGTGTAGGCTAGATGGTTTAGCCATGGTAAATGCAGGCTTACAGGGATAGGGTAGGGGGTGAGTCTGGGTGAGATGCTCTTTGAAGAATCGATGTGGACTTATTGGTGATAATGGCTTATTTCCACACTGTAGGGATTCTACGATTCTATACATGTTCTTTCTGACAACCAATTTAGGATTGTCAGTCACGCTCGCGGTATGTTGCACTTGTCTATGCTGGAAGCTACACATATTAATAAACAGGACCCTGTTCCTTGCAAATAGCAACCCACACCAGAGACATAATGACCAGACAATGATTTAGTGAGATAACAAGGTGTAGAGCTGGATGAACACAGCAGGCCAAGCAGCATCAGAGGAGCAGGAAGGCTGACATTTCAGGCCTAGACCCTTCTTCAGAAATGGGGGAGGGGAAGGGGGTTCTGAAATAAATAGGGAGAGAGGGGGAGGCAGATAGAAGATGGATAGAGGAGAAGATAGGTAGAGAGGAGACAGACTGGTCAAAGAGGTGGGGATGGAGCCAGTAAAGGTGAGTGTAGGTGGGGAGATAGGGAGGAGATAGGTCAGTCCAGGGAGGACGGACAGGTCAAAGGGGCGGGATGAGGTTAGTAGGTAGGATATGTGGGTGGGGCTTGAGGTGGGAGGAGGGGATAGGTGGGAGGAAGGACAGGTTAGGGATGAGCTGGGCTGGTTTTGGGATGCAGTAGGGGGACGGGAGATTTTGAAGCTTGTGAAGTCCACATTGATACCATTGGGCTGCAGGGTTCCCGAGCGGAATATGTGTTGCTGTTCCTGCAACCTTCTGGTGGCATCGTTGTGGCACTGCAGAAGGCCCAGGATGGACATGTCGTCTAAGGAATGGGAGGGGGAGTTGAAATGGTTCGCGACTGGGAGGTGCAGTTGTTTGTTGCGAACTGAGTGTAGGTGTTCTGCAAAGCGGTCTCCAAGCCTCCGCTTGGTTTCCCTGATGTAGAGGAGACCACAATGGGAACAGTGGATGCAGTATACCACATTGGCAGATGTGCAGGTGAACATCTGCTTGATGTGGAAAGTTTTCTTGGGGCCTGGGATGGAGGTGAGGGGGGAAGTGTTGGGGCAGGTGTAGCACTTCCTGTGGTTGCAGGGAAAAGTGCCGGGTGTGGTGGGGCTGGAGGGGAGTGTGGAGCGGACAAGGGAGTCATGGAGAGAGTGTTCCTTCCGGAAAGCCGATAAGGGTGGGGAGGGAAAAATGTCTTTGGTGGTGGGGTCGGATTGCAGATGGTGGAAGTGTCGGAGGATGATGCGTTGGATCCGGAGGTTGGTGGGGTGGTACGTGAGGACGAGGGGGATTCTGTTTTGGTTGTTATTGCGGGGAGGGGGTGTGAGGGATGAGTTGCGGGAAATGTGGGAGACACAGTCGAGGGCGTTCTCAACCACTGACAGGGGGACGTTGCGGTCCTTGAAAAACGAGAACATCTGATCATCCAGCTCTACACCTTGTTATCTCAGATTCTCCAGCATCTGCAGTTTCTACTATCTCTGAAGTGATTTAGTGATCTTGGCTGAGGGATAAATATTGAGCAGGGCATTTGGGAGAATTGTTCTTCAGTTCTTCTTTGAATTCTGCAATGGGATTTTTCACGTCTAACTGAGAGAGCAGATGTTTAAGTTTGTGTGCAAAAATAACACATCTCCATTGGTGCAGTTCACCCTCAGTACCTCACTTGAAATCTCAGCCTAGATTTGATGCTTCCTTCCATCCATTGACTGCACTTATACTTCTCGCTGCTTCAGAAAGGCAGCCACCATAATCAAAGGCCCCTCCTACCCTGGTTATAATCTCTTCCAACCCCTTCTGTCGGGCAGCAGATACAAAAGCTTACACACACGTATCAACAGATTCAGGAACAGCTTCTGCCCCACTGTTATTAGCCTCCTGAATGGACCTCTCAAGTTTTAAATTGAATGTTGATCTCACTCATTCTGCACCTTCTCTGCAGCCGTAATGTTACATTCTTCGCTCTGCTCTATTACCCAAATGCACTTTGTATATTACGGTCTGTCTGTACTGCACACAAAACAAAACTTTTCACTGTACTTGTACATGTGACAATAATAAACCAAATTTTAAAAAAATCAATAAGTCTCTTGCCTGGGCCTTGTACCAAAATCTTCTGACACATAGGAGTAAAATGCTTATTTTGACACCATTGAATACATTTAAAATATATTGAGTGTTTAATTAGACTTGTTTTTAGCAGTCACACATACATTGGATGCTGGCAATAATGACCAATAATCACACTCAAATCTCTTATATACCATGTTATCAACATATATTTCTCCAATCATTCACTTTGTTTTTCCCAACAGCTATTATGTACATTTAAATGGATTTGCCATTAATTTGAGCAGGATTCACCAGCAAAGTGGTTATTGTCCTAGACCAACAATCCACACATTCTGAATTCATAAACTTCCCAATTAGTCTGATAATTAGGGGCTGCCAACAGAACAAGTGACAATAAAAGTTACCGGAGTTAAAGAAACTCAACAGATTCAAAAATGTTCTTTGCGTGAGAGAACTGTCAGCTCCTACCTATTTGCCTTACCCATGATTCAAGGTCCATCTCACATGGCTGGTCTCTGAAATGGTCAAGCAAACTCAGTTCAAGCTGAATTGCTTCAAGAAGAAGGTCCACCATCTTCAGAAGGCAATCAGAAAATGACCAATAAATACTTACGGACAACGAAAAAACAAACACGAAAATCTTTATTTCATTTCTCATGAACAATACATTTCTGCACGACTCAATACAAAATTTCTTCTTCATGGGATATGGGTGATGCTGGAAAGTCCAGAATTTGTTGGTTTTCCCTAGTTGCCCTTTGAAATGAGTGGATTTAATAGGGCAATTTCAGAGGTCATTGAGGAGCCACACCCACATTGCTCTGAGACTGAAATCACATGGAGGTCAGGCCTGGTAAACGCATAGATTCCCTTCTCTAAAGGACGTTAGTAAACCAAATGGGTTTCTATGACAATCCATGATAGCTTCATAAATACCAGTACAGTGAATAACTTGCGATTCCATATTTGTTCAATTGAATCTAAATTCCATTGTGTTGTTGTGGCATGATTTTGACCCCAAACCATTTACCTATATCTCCAAATTACCAGTCCAGTGATATTACCACTACACCACCAAAGCAAAATTGTCAACATTGACTTGGTGATGCACCCTGACATTTGAGTCAGAAAACCGTGAATTCAAGCCACTCCAGGAGGGATGCGCATGTAATTTAGGCTGAAACTTCAATACAAGACTGAAGAAACCTTGTATAACTGCTTAACTGGATTTAAACAGGATTCATGGTATTATATGAAGAGCAGGAAGAATTTTCCCAGTCACCTAGTC